GATTATTGAGCATGCATCAGGATGTTCTCAGTTGTGTTTGGCTAATGACACTTTAAATGGAATGGAGTGAGGAAGCAGGGGCAGAAATTCTACTGCATAATTGTGTGTGTGTGGGGGGGGGGGTAAACAGAGAGTTATTATTATTATATATTTTTCTGTTCGCCAGGTAAACAAGTTACATTAAGTAAATATACAGAACGTCTTTCTCCTCCTTTTCTTTTCGGCTGTTCCCTCTTCGGGGGTCCCAAAGATAGATGTCATAAAGCTATATTAAAAAACATCCTGATTCATGTTCAAGAATCCAGGTAGAAAAATCTAAAAAAAAGTTAAATCTGGTCCTCTGGACATTCAAAAAACAAAACAAACAAAAAAATGTAGAAACGTTTCGTCTCTCATCCAAAAGACTTCCTCAGTCTGAGGCGCTGTATTCAGCTCAGTCTCTTAAATAGCACCGTCTCAGAGTGGATCAACCAGTTTTGCTGCTGACAACCAAAACCAACTGATCACATGCTCAAGAAGGACCATCAGCCTAACAATGGATCATTAGCACCTGATGGCTGTTTACTGTTCACAGAGGGCTGAGTGATACTAGCAATCACAGCATTGAAAGAGGGGGACAGTTGAACCCGGAGGCCTCCACCCCTGTTTAATGATGGACGATTTCTTTTCACAAAGATGGCCTCCTTTACTCCTCTCTCAAACCATCGTTCCTCTCTGTCCAGGATGTGAACATCTTCATCCCTGAAAGAGTGACCTCTGGCCTGGAGATGAGTGTAGACCGCAGAGTCCTGGTCTGATGATGTTGATCTTCTGTGCTGGTCCATCCTTTTGGCCAGTGGCTGTTTTGTTTCCCCGATGTAAGACTGATCACAGCCCTCCTGACACTGAACAGCATACACAACATTACTCTGTTTGTGCCGGGGGACTGGATCTTTGGGATGAACCAGTCTTTGCAGTAATGTGTTTTGGGGTTTAAAAGCCACTGGGACGTTATGTTTAGAAAATAAACGTCTCAGTTTCTCTGATACTCCCTCAACATATGGAATGACCACTGGTCTGGGTCTGGGTTCCTCCTTTTCACCTGATGGCTGACTGGAGTCCTGTTTGGGTTTCTTCTCTGCTTTCAGGAAGGCCCAGTTAGTGGGGATGCTGTCTGCTCTGTGGTACAGAGTCCTGATGACTCCTAACTTGTGCTCCAAAGGGTGATGGGAGTCAAACTGCAAATACTGGTCTGTGTGGGTGGGTTTGCGGTACACCTCGGTTTGCAAATGTCCTCTATCAGAGACTGAGACCTCACAGTCCAAGAAAGCCAGTCTGCCATTTTTTTACATTTTCTCATGTGAACTTGATGTATTTATCCACAGAGTTGATGTGGTCAGTAAAATGTTGGACTTCCTGAGATTTAATTTTAACCCAGGTGTCGTCAATTGACGTAAATATAAATTGTGACAAATGAAGATATAGCATTCAATGAAAAAATGCATACCACCCACCATTTTAGACAACAACATTGTGTGTTGAGAAAAGACAAGAGTTCAAGGAACAACAAAGTCCATGCTCAATAATCCAGGTATACAATCCAACAGCAGAACTTTTAAGTGCAAGCATTACAAGTTTTGAGAACAAAGAGTTAAATTCCTGCTTTCTAAACGAAAATGTTTGATCTCGACTTATGTCAGTAAAATTTCCCCATAATATGGTTAGAATGTTCCCATTGAACATGGTCTAACGTTTTTGTTTTGGAGATACATTCTGGTTTATACTGGTTTTAAGGCTTGTCTCAACTGTATTTGATGGAGAAAGTCTGGAAAATAAATGTTATTGAACATGTGAGTTGTAAGTGTATTCTGTGATTTTTTTTTTTTAAGGAAACTCGTGAACTTGCCATTAATAGTGGAGAAAGGGGATTAGATTTGAAAATGTTTAACTTAAATTGCAATTTTAAGTTCAGTTGCTGCCTTAAAAACATGAGTTAACATAACTTGTAAAGGTAAATCATATGAATATAGTTGAATGTAAAATGTAAGTTGAAACGATATACAAGTGTACGCTACTTTAACAAGAGAAAGCTAGTATTCTTGAATGGATAATATAACTTTGTGAGTTGTTTTAACTCGGGAGTACAAGTTCAAACAACATGTTGTAATTCATTAGACAACTGGTATAACTTAACTATGCGAGTTGTTACAACATATAATTTTAAGTTTCCTTGACAAGAGTAATGAATTTTTTGGAAGCAATAATGTTCTATGGTGAGTCATTTCAACTAATAGTATCGAGTTGAAACAATAAATTAGCATCAATTGGACAACTTTTATAACTTGTATTTCTAAGTTGAAAAAAGCTTCATCTTAAGTTGAGTTTACTTATGTTTTTAAGGCAGCAATTGAACTTAAATTTTTAAGTTCACCCTAATATTTTTTACAGTGAACATACCTGAACCAATGACTTGGTGGTGTCCCTGAAAAGGACGTCAAGGCTCTCTTTTCTACCTCCTCCATGTACAGGTTGGCAACAATACCTGTTTCTGTCTATAATATCGCTCCCCATATGTGAAGTAGGTTGACTGCAGGCACAGTTTCAAGAGTTGACAGTTGTTCTGTATATTAAAAACCGACGTTTTAACAGGTCTTTGAACGCCACACAGGTAAAAAAAATAAAAATAAATTGCGTTCAATGATTAGAAAAACGTCGGTATTTCTACAGTTAAGAAGGTGTTAAAACGAGTGTTCTGGCAGGATTTTCTCCGTTTTATGAAACGGCGGGTTTTTGTGTGTCAAACGTGTGATAAAAGTTGCGATTTGTGTCACTTTTGGCTTGCCATACTCTTCAGAGCGGCCAAGTAAACGTTTCTTTTCGGGTCATTGAACGCCGCTTTTGTTCGGTCGTACGCATGCGCAATGGACGTTTGATTATTAGCCGGGAAGAGCGAGCAGCGTTTAATTACCAGGAGACGCTGTGGCGGGGGAACCATATATGGGGGGGGAACTACTAGGCTTATTAAACTTTGAAGCATATTTATGTCTGAAAAAAGTCATCATTGGCTGATAATTTATAGAAAATAAATAGTTTGAAAGTAAAAATACAATGCAACATAGTTAAGTGAAGATGCGCAGTGTGTTCTCGTCATGCCAGGTTGATGATTATAGACGTATAATATATGAACAAAAATAAGGATGTATGCTTTAGGTCTATGGCTGTAAATTTAGTGCTGTTTATTTTAAATTTACCTAGCAACAGCTGATGTAATCTCTTCGTAGGACCAGCAGCACTTTTCTTCAAGCAACATGATGGAAGATTGAGGTTCAAGAGGAAGCTGGAAGAGCCATGCGGATAGAGCAGCAGTCTGTCCATGTGTGTGTAGAAGACACGCAGGAAGCAGCAGCAGAACCGACCCACGGACCTCCATCAGTAAGAATCTGGTTCCTCTCATCCTTTCTGTTATTTGACGCTGTCGCTGCGTGTTGACTGTCGCTTCTGTGCAAAAACAGCGGAGTGACGCTCCTCGTTCACTCCTTACTTTAATTCTTGGGTGAAGGAGAACTCATCTGGGTGATCCAGGATATAAACGGATCCAGAGGAGGCCTGTCTGAGAGCAGCCTGGTCGGCTTCATTGAGCCCAGCAGGGGCGTTATTAGGTTTCCCTAACATTGGGGGGCTCAGCCCAAACAAATATATATAATAATAATGTGCTATGTATTGTCATCATTGTATGTTCTCATATGTTTTTTAACATGTTTTTTTTTCCAAGTAATTTAAGAATGAAATCAATGGAAGACTGTGTTTGTGCAAGTCCTTTGTCTTGACCAGCTTAAATACATTCAGTTTTGTTGTTTTCTTATGGAGAAGCTACAGCAAAAACCCACTGCTGTATTTACATGGATTTTTTTTTTTTTTTTTAGAAATGACAAAAATACCACTTTTTTTTGTTTATATGGACAAGGCTCTATTTTCTGACTGTTTTGACCTCGCCTACACCTCACTCAAAAACACGACCACCTTCTACGCAGCCCTCGCAGTGTGTTCTTGGGTTAAACGCTTGATTTACACACCATGAGTAAGAATTAGGGGTGCACCGATTGCAGTTTTCTGGTCGATCACGATTCCTAAAAAGTCTGACCTGCCGATTCCGACCGATACCGATTTTGTTTTATAAGCGACACTGTCAAGTGTTATAAGGTCACAATGCACAAAATCTAAATACTTTAGTGCTAGATATAGACATTCATCAGTGCCAAGTATTATGAAACAGATTCTGCTTGTAAAAAGTACAGAAAAAGCAAGTTTTTTTTCTACTTGTGTTGTTTTCATATTACTTCATAACTTGATTATATCTGTTTAATATCTTTTCTGTCTTGAGTTCGGAGGTTATTCAGAAAACACCTGGAGCTACAGCCCTGGTTATATATATATATACATATACCTAATAAGACGGACAAGATCTTTAGATAAAACTACAAAAAAAAGGCAATTGTTTGGAACATTATCTCTGGTATTAAATATATAAAGCATCTCAGAGTAACGCAAAACAGAGGACAATTGGATTTTCTTGAAGGGCAAAAAAAACTTTTTAGTATAGTTAATCAAATTTCTTATTATTGTTTCAGTATTTCAGGGGTCTGCAAAACAATTAATGATTGAAGATGTGGTCTTTACAGACTCCTGGAGAAAAACACCTGAAACTTCTCTTTAAAGTCTCAAAAGTTCTGGAAACCATGGGGGCTCTCACTTTCTCCTACAGCTGTGTGGTAAGAAACTTTTATGCGTTTGTCTTGAAGCAGATTTAAACCTGTTAAAGTGTATTGTTAACCTATTGATAAGTGATTTGTTCTAAATAGGTCAAGCCTTTCTGACTCCAGACACAAGTGTCAGACATTTGTGTTGTACATTTTGAGCAGTAAATGTGTAATTGTAGTTGTCATGTCATCTACAACAAGATGATTGGTTGAAATTAAAGCCAGCTGTTTCATCATCTGTTCTTGATCTGTAGAAGAGGAGTTCATCCGGGAAGTGACGGTGTCCTGCAGAGGCAGAGCTATGGGCTGCGGGGGGAGCAGGACTGACGCTCTGGAGCCTCGTTACCTGGAGAGCTGGACCAAAGAGACGGAGTCCACGTGGCTGACGAGCACCGACACCGACATCCCCCTGTCATCCATCCAAAACATCCCCTTTGACAACTCTGAGATCGGCTTCGCTTCTGAGAAAACAATCAGCCCCGGTAAGATGACGGGGTTGAATGTAGTGAGTGGCTAGTTGTTCCTTCTCCTTAGAAAAACGAGGATTAACCATCATTTTATTGCTGTCATTAGCTTAACGCAGCTGATTTTAACTGAGAACACTGTGAGAAAAGAAAAGACTGAATGAAAGATGAAAACGTACCACGGCCAAGGACGGAGTGTCTCATACATGACACATAAGGAAAATCTGACACTACATAATCTCCATGCTTTATTTTGTTAATTAAGTCTTTTTTTTTGTTCTGAAGTGCGATTGTATTTACTTTGAAGCCACACGTCTTCAGATGAATCAGTTAAAGGGAAATTAGGCTGCTTCAAAAGCCACGACGCTAAGAAAGGACTTTGCTCTCATGGCAACCGAAGCTGAATGAAGGTAGAGGAGCCTTGACGTAACCGTGAAGACGAACTGAGATCAGCTTCTCAACAAAAATGTGAAACGGACCCACAGTTTAGCAAATGAATGAGCAGTGGTCAAAGAGGCTCCACATTCAAGTGGCAATTAGTAATAAAGTTAGAATATTTAAAAAAAAAGGCTTTTTATGTCCTTTTACATACATTTGATCATTCACAAAAGCTTCTGTGCGTGTTTTGTTCTAATAGTGTGAATGATGAGTCAGCAGGACTTTTTGGATTTTGTAATATATTTATTTCTGTTTTTTATTTAAACAAAAAAAAACTGAAGTCTACTTCAGCATGCTAGCTTCAGTTTTAACTTTTAGCTACTGTTCTACTGATCCCTTTGGCTACTCTAGTGCTATTTTTAGGTTTTAGCTACAATTTTGCTAATTGTCCCTTTTGGCACCTGCTTTGAAAATGTATTATTTTAGCTATTAGCTAATCCTAGCTTTTATAATGTTTTGATAATTTAAAGTTTTAGCTACTGGTTTGCTAAATTTAGCTACTGTTTTGCTGTTATGTATTTAGCTTTTGTTCTGATCTTTTTGAACAATTCATCAACAGATTTCATGGTCTCTCAGCATTTATTCTGCATATTCACAGAAAATAACATTTCAGCACATTATCAGAACATTTTGAATTTCAGAGTTTCCATGTAGCTTTTTGTTTTATTCATCTTTAAGTACCACGCAACAAATGTTTTCATGTTTTAACTCTGTAAACCTTCCACGTGCTACTGGTGTGCTAACAATAATCAGACATACTGGACATGATGCATCCAGAGGTGTCGAACTGGTCAACAAGTTTTAGTTGGTTCCTCACTCCAACCCACCTGATTCAAACGGTTTAATGACTTTGGCATCTTCTCGAGTTCTGCAAAAGCCCCCGTTAATGACCCATTTATTAAAAACAGTGTTGTTGAACTGAAACATTCAGCATATCGGCCCCAGAGGAGCAGAGACTGACACCAAGAAGATTGTAGAACTGAGGGCAGAAGAAAGATGTTTGCATAAACAGCTACAATATTTTGGGAGTGGAGTTGTTTTAAATTGGCAGCAATCCACCGTAGGCTTGACTTCACTGAAATGAACCGTTAGCGCAAGGTTGATCAAAGAACCATCTACAACAGGTAAGACCATAATTATTCATATTTTCCCCTAAACTCCACTTCCAAACAATCTGGTTTTTAAAAATGAGATGTGATTAAAGAACCACATGTTTGAACATGTGTAGAGCCTCTCAAATTAAAGCCAATGCTTTTTTTTTTAAGCGGTTAAGTCAGTGCAAGTTTCAGACTGGGTCTCTTTCAGTGGAAATATCTTGAAATGCCTCTTCTCTTTTCCAGGTAAAAGAAACAAGAGAACAAAGTCAGCGTTTGTATTGCTATTTCAACCATTTTGAGTAAAACTGGGATCATTGCAGCTTCTCTAAATCTAGTGTTGTCAAACACATGCGTGCTTCCACAGTGCTTGAATGGCTGTAGATGCAATTTCCCGTAGAGCTCTGAAATCTATTAATTGTAAAGCTTCCACCCACATTAGCATTTTATATGCTCTAAATGGATTGTCCCGTTCATTTTTCTTGAATAGCATTGCTTTATAAATGTACTACCGATACATGTCTCTGTGAAATAAAGCAATCGTTAGTGTTGTCTGGTCACAGAGATGCTCAGATGTACTGGACACATTCTGCGTTGAAGACTTTCACGTTTTTTATAGTCTCAGTGAAGAAGTCTAAAAGTTTGTTTTCCCTTCGTTAAAGTTCCAGATTTCTTCGAAGATGGCCTTCCTCCTCCCGCTCAGGCGTACCTGAAGGTTTGCTCGGCCGTGTCTGAAGCCAGTCTGAGTGACGTGAAGCCCAGCAGCCCGCCGTCCATCCTGTCCTCTCCGCAGAAGGACGTGTCGCCGTCGTCGGGCACCACGGTGCAGCGAACAAGTGTTCTGCACACCGAAGAAATAGTAGGTCGTCCTTATTAAACGCCTCTTTGCTCTCGCTAAACTACTTCTACCGCGTGCCGTTGCTCCTAACTCGTCTTTTTCCGTTAACAGACAAAATGGCAGGACAACAGGATGTCCACCAAGCAGGTGACCATTACCGTAACACAGAGCATCCATCAGGTGGACAAAAACGGCAAAGTTAAGAAGTCCCTCACCACCTACGAGGTTATGAAACCCGTGGAGACTTTAAAACAGGCGGCCACACAGAACGCCTGAGACCGGAAGGAGTCCGGTGAGAAACCACAAGTGCTTTGCTGGAGGAATCTTTGTGTTCTGCTGGTCGACGGACGCACGGGAACATGTGGAGACTGTAAACAAAGATCACGTTAAACTGGTCGGTTTCGTGTATTTTATTGTACTTTAGCATCGTAAAAAGATTCACATTTAAAAGTATTTTGTGTTCAAATCAAAATAAAATCTTTGCAGCAGACAGGGTGTTTCAAAATAAAAACTATTTTAAGATGCTTCTGAGCGCAGGTACACGTGTAAAGTTGTGAATATTCAACTTGTTCGTCTCAATGTTTGGCGTCGAGACACGACTTGTGTTAACTGAACAACACAAGAAGCTGGAACTGATGAGTGCAGCCTTTACAGATAAACCTGAGCGTGTGAGATGTGTCTGTTTTTTTGTTTTTAATAAATTAAACTATTTATGGTTTCTGCTGTGAATTATTCCATGCCAAATGCTCAAGTAAGATCTGCTTCCATGACACACACGTGGTTTAAGCGTGAAACAACAGGCAGACTCATTTCTGAAACCTGAACGGTCTTGGACCTCATCTTGACCTCGGGCTGTAGAACAGAGGTAAAACTGTTCTGGGGTCAGCTTGGTGATGAAAGTGTGTGGATGTGTTTTTGGGGGTCGTAGCAGATCTGTCTCGACCGGAACAACGGCTCCTCCTTCTCCAGCCACTCCTCCACATTGAAATCCGGGAAGAAGAAACTGATTTCTCTTCGAGCCGACTCTGAAGAATCTGAAGGACACCATTTCAGATTAACTCAAACGTAAACTGATAATCTGCAATATGCCAGCTGTAAAAAAAAATTGCTGATGGGAGAAGTACAAAAAAGCCTAAAGTGTTTGGACCCCCACTTTCTCACTTTGCAACATCAAATGCTGCTTTTCTTAAGGTCCACTGACATCACTAATTACACTGCAGCCACTGTTTGCCTTTCAAGATCAATTCCATGCGGTAGCCATCTTGAATTTGGTTCTCAAAAAAAAAAAAAAAAATCAGTTCTAGAAGAACAACAGATTCATATTTTCTGAGGGTTTCATTAAAATAAATGCTCTGGTTCATGAGATTTTGCTAAAATACATAATTAATGCCAAAGTTTTAAACAAAGAATTCATGCAAGCTGTTCGCTCTAATTTCAGCTCAATATCTATAAAATCTGAGGGTCACAAAATTCTAATTTTTGTGTAGGTGACGGTGACAGAGAATCTGACCTGGGGGGCAGTAGCATCACCTCAGCCATCAGAAAGGCCCAGCAGCGTCTTCTCTTTCTGAGGAAACTGAAACGGGCCAAAATTCCTCAGCAGCTTATGATCAACGTGTATAACTGCTACTGGAAGTGTATTAACCTGAGGATTCCTAGTGTGGTTCTCCAGCTGCACTAAGGCGCAGGGGTCGAACGACTACGTATTTGTTAAAGTCGACATTAACATGATGATCGTTGAGTCGACTAGTTGATGACGTCATAGCTCAAGACGCTAAAAAAAAGAAGTCATTTATTATTTACCAAATAAAAGAACAACAAAACACAGGGAGCGTATATTTATGTTCCTACCATTTATCATCCTGCAAATAAGTCTCAGGAAAACCAAAACTATTATTAAGCTGCAGAAGTTAAAATAAATAAACCAGCGCAACAGTGCTGCGCGGTGGTGGACCGGTGGAGCGCTCCCCTGGTTTTTTAACTTTATTTAGTGGATTAAATAGAATTAAACTAAAAACAGGAGGCGGGCGTGGTGGGATCCCACAGTGGATTAAACTAAAATGAAACTAAAAACATCATCTTTAGTGAAAAACGTCCACACTGTTGATGAATTTCTACCTGTTTGGGAAGACTTGGCCTGCTCCTCTCCTCCTACCTGCTTGGAAGAATCTGTTTTGTAGCCAGCGGCCGTGACACAATCACCGACTGCGACTAGTCGACGTGAAATTCAAAAACTTGCGAGATGTCCTAGAGTCGACTAGTCTATTCAACCCCTAGACGAACCAGCGGGTGGTTAAAACAGCTGGGAAGATCATCAGGATGACCCTCCCGGAGATCAGAACTATCTATACAACGCGCTGTCTGAGACGAGTCAACAACATCCTGCGGGACAGGTACCATCCTGCACATGGCCTTCCAGCCGTTACCCTCAGGCAGAAGGTACCGGTCCATAGGTGCCAGAAGCACCAGAATGGCTCAGTCTGTACCCAGAGGCTGTGAGACTCTCTCTGTGACCTCACCCATTATCCTTACATCTCAAATGTCATCATGACAATGTGAAATGGATATTTCATTGCTGCAGCAACCAACTACCGGTACTAACCCTTCAACATCTGTTTACAGTTCTCCTTCTGTCCTGCCATAGATGCTGTATTATTATCTGTGTTGACACTGATCTTAAGAACCTTGCAAAGTTCTTTCGCACCACTATGTGCTAATTTATTACTGTGTAGGTGTATGATACTCCATCAGAATTTTGTTGCTACTGTATCCATAACTGTTGTGATTATGGCAATGACAATAAAGTAAGTAAGAGTGTCTGACTTGTAGCTATTTTTGTGTTTACTAAGGTCAAGTATCGTACTCCAAGCACTGACAGATCGCGAGAGATCTTTGTTTAAAACTTTAGTTTGTAAAGCGGAGGGCAATATGTTATTTAACACTAAAATAGAAGATCTCCCATCTTTAAAATAATAATATAATGCCAAATCATTTGTACGTCTGGATTTATTGTTACCTGAGCCGTGAGTTGTGTTCCTCGTGTCTGTGAGCCCAAACTGCGCCCTGAGGGAAGCGGGGTCCGTGTATCGGGCCCGAAACACTTTGGTTGGTCCCATCTGTTCCCTCCAGTGACGTATCGCATCCTCTCTGGCTAAAATGTACGCTCGCATAGGACCGCTGGGAAAAAATGTCACAGAAAAACACTGAATGGGTTCTTGATTTTAAAAAAGAGCTTAAAAAATAGATTTTTCTTATAAACCTGATCTATTCACAAGTTTTCCTGAACAGATTTCCATCAGAAATAAAACCTCTACAGATGCAGCTATCATTTTTATCTGAACTGAGGATGTTTAGCACGTTCCCAATAACAGTTTCCAGACACACGGAAAAAGGATGGTTGCCGTGGCAACTTCTCTCCTGAAGGAGCGAGCTACGTTTTTTTTTTTTAGGCAATCTACTAGGATGTTGCGTTAAACAAGGCAGGCTCTGATAAATTTCAAGTTCCAGAAAATTAGATCATCCACAAATTTTTGTGCTGGTTGTTTAAATGTAATCTTATGTTTTCTTGCTTTTTGAGAACTTTATATTATTCTAGAAGTCTCTGATATTTGATTATCTGTGACTTGGGAGGTTTACCTTGACATGAATTCAACAAGTCTTTGATAGAAGAATCGCCCTGCGAATAAAAAAAAAAAAAAATGGATGTATGGACATTGAACTATTTCAAACACAAATTAAAATGAAAATATCAAACATGTTTTCTTTTATGTAATTTAGGAACTTCCTGGATAACAACAAAGTCCATGTTCAATAATCCAGGTATACAATCCAACATTTTTCAGTCAGGTCATCTGGACAGTTTCTTTTTTTTTGTATGTGCTGAAACTTCCTGGATATTTGTTATAATTGTTAATTTTTTTTATCCAGAGTTTATTTTGTACTTTTACAAAGAGTAAACACAAAGTATAATTGTTGTAACTCTACCCTTCATACATGTTGTGCATTAGTATAGTACAGTATGCTTTATAGTAGCTAAAATAAGCTGCTGTCTGTAATTCTGTATTTCATGAAGAACTACAGCACAGTTTGATACATTTAGTCTGATTTGATCATGAATATTTGGGTTCAAACCTGAATGTTCAGCATAAAACCTCTCCGAGTCCCGTCTCGTCCACACCAGGTCTTTACATCTGACTATAACAAAGTTGTGGTCCAGAATTTTTTGTTGAATAGCCTGAAAAAAAAAAAAGAAAGAAACCATTTGTCATGTTTTAATAATCTGCAAGTTATTATATCCAAATAACATTACACAACAAAAACTCAGATAACATGATGAGCACAGATTTACCTTCCACTGACTATTCTGTGATTGACTTCGTTTGTATGCATTTAACGTCTCTTTTTCATGAATCTACCAACGAGATCAAGTCCTATCAAATAAAACAAGCATTCCTTGAAAGAATGCATACACCCCGCTGTCTTACATGCCAAAGTTTCAGAGATCTTATGTGTCAGTTAGCACTCTCAGCTACTACCACACCAAATCTTAGCTCAATAGCTGCAAAACTAATTGAGTTGTAGCAATTTTTGTATTTTCTACTGTTGAGTAGATGCAGCAGCCATCTTGAGATGAGTTAACTCCAAAGATACAGTAGTCGTACATCCAATAAATACTTTGAGAATTTCATTAAAATCCCTCCACTGATCAATGAGTTGTTTGCTGACAGACACCCAGGGATGATCACCACTCTCTCATGGTGGCAGGGCACAAATATCCACTGCTTTGAACCTAAAGGTAAAGAGAAGGATAAAGTCTTCAAGAATCAGGCGTTTTATAGATTTTATTATTGCGGTTCCAATATTGAGTTGCAGAAAAATATCCCCATGCAGCAAATTTTCCACATATCTTTAATATATCAGTTTGTGGAGGACTAACAAAGAACAGGTTGAACAAACAAAGCTGAATATGTTATTATAATTTAACTACATGGGTGCTATATTTGTTAGTTGTTGTATATTTGTGTAATTAGGTGTTGATGCACAAATTACTGTTCACAGTTGATCTTTATACATGACATCAGCTGTTCTGAGACAGTTGATCTTGTGTGTTTTCTTGTTCCTGCAGCTGCATGGTGAACTGAACAGTAAATGATCTAAATGTTTACATGTGCGCGCGTCCAACTTCGTTTAGTGAAGTGAACGACAGAGAGGGCTCACCTCCAACATTACAGGATGAGCCACAGCATCCGGTTTGATGACCGCCAGGGTGAGCTGCAGCGCTTTGGACAGGCGGACCTTCGTCAGCAACATTTCCTGAACACAAACCACAACTGTAACAAAAACAACAGTTGCACCTTCTTCAGTAACAACACAGCCGGAGAGGAATTTTAAGGTCAACCCATTATAACACTCACAAAAAACAAAGTCTTTCGACCATCAAGTCAGATTCCGTGGACTACAAAGTACTCGTCGTTACGCGATCATTTTGTTGCGCCGATACCCGGAAGACGTCAGTTTGTAACAGTTTACGGCAGCCGGTGACGTCAGTTTATCCGTCCGCTTTAAACTCTAAAAATGGCGCTCAATAAATGCCTAATCTTGTTTATATAATTGTGTACTTTAAGCATAAAATGAAGACAATACATTAAAACGGAATATACAGCTGCTCTGATCAATTCCGTTCAGTACGTCTATAAAATCAGTCCCCCCCTGCAACCGAACATGCGAATTTTCAGTCCTATATGAACCCCATATGAATCATATACTGTAGTAAACAGTTTTGACTTTATCTTTTAAAACACTTGTATTTCCAATAATAGTTCATATTTTCATTTTTGCTGTTAGTTGTGATTCTCAGGGTAAGTCCAATTTAGCCTAAACAAGTCTAAACTATCCTTTGGCTTTTAAACCACCTGTGATGCCACATGATGTTTTCCCCAGCTACCTGCGTAATGTTTTCCAAATATAAATTTACATTCTTGGTTCTTAACATCTCACGTTTTTGTTCAACCTAAATTTTTATATATTTATTTATTAAGTATTTTCTAGTTTAAGATGAGGTGTTTTGAGTTTTTGTTCAATTTTGCACCAGTGCTGATGGCACTGCCCCAATGTGTAAACTACTTGATAATCACCTAGAGTATCAGAGAAACGAGCAAACTGAGCATCTTGTTAACCTGAATTAATCGTTTTTTTTTTTTTTTATATAAAAGCAGATAAAAGTGTCTGAGTGAGGGACTGAGACACATCTGCAGCAGGCAGGTGCTGGAGCTTGAGATGTTTGTGAAGGAGAGAGATCAGAGAGCGGTGTGAGTTACACATTTCAGAAATGCAAAGTGACCACACCCTTGAACTGTAGAGATTGTGCATGTGTGTGTGTTTGAAGGGAGGTGGGGGGGTTGCATAGGTTTCTTCCACCTGCCTTTAGTCATGTGACTCTGCATGAAACCACAGCTGTTACCTTCCTGAGGGGCGGTGAAGAGGACAAGAGGAGGTTCTGGGTGGTTGTGGGGTGAAAGAGGACACATTTCTCAGCATGGATGCATCGGGTAAAAACAGACTGTAAAGGTTATCTGCTTATTATTAATATATTATACAAATACTCCAATATAAACAATCACTTAAAAAATAGTGTGTGCTTAATTTTTCTTTCCTTTTTGCTGTTTCAGCACCAACATAAATAATGAAACTAATATAATGAACTACTGTTGACAACAAGTCACTTGAGTTTTAACATCAGTGTGAGCTAGTTGAGATTAACTGCTCTCACTTACGTCAAGTTCAAATGATTTTGGGGCGACTTTGATTTTAAACATGAAACAGCCAAACTCGACCTTCCGTCTGTTGTTAACGTCTCTGTCCTTGGTCTTCATTTAGATCTTCGATGGAGATTTTATAACATTTCTTAAGGAGCACTTGTGCAGGTTTTATATTTTTAAGTCAATTTTTCTTTTTTTTTTTTTATTAACATTTAAAATGAGCATTAAACAATTAGAGATAGATCATCGCCGTTTACTGAAGTTGTTCTTCCAGTAAAAAAAAATATAAAAAATCCAAAATACAACATAAAATAAAAACTAAACAGGGGAAGCAATTATTACAAATGACTTTGACCCTTAAATAGACTTTGTGAAAAGCCGTTTTTTGTTGCGACGGCTGAACAGAACATTAAGTCGAGCTTTAAACATCTTCAGCTGATTTGTCCTCTGCTCTCAGCCACAATATTCAGTTTCAACGCTGGCTCTCCTGCAGTTGTTGCTTGCTTTTATCGGTTGTCAGACAACTGCCCACATAACTCAAAACCCCAAATTCTGCTCATTTGTTCAGCAGGATACATGAAATTAATCCTGCAGTGTCTCAAATGTAACCTCAGGGGAGAAAAAGAGACAAAACGTTAAAGTTCTGATGAAGACTAGAGAAGAAATGTGCAGGATCAGGTATGCAGACACATGTTTTATGAGAAATTACTAATAATATGTAGCTCACAGATACAGCACTGTGCAAATGTCTTCAGCCACCCCTTTTCTTTTTACAGTTCACAAGAAATATGAAAGCAGGCAGGTGCAGCAGTTTAGTCCAATTTGTACAATCATTTAAAAAAAGCACTTGAGTTTAAAACAAGTTATGGGATTCTGATAGGCATGAAAGACGTTTATTGGTTTTGTCTTTTTTTGTCTTTTATGAGTCTTCAGGAGTAATTTACTGGATTTTATGAAGGCCATTTCAGGGCACTTCTTCAAACCTTGCTTGTCATGATGTCACACATGCTTCAAAAACACACACAAGTCCAGACTCCAGGTTATAGAGTTTCATTAAATGTTTTTAAAAAATGGCCGGGTGTTTAAGATTATTGTCGTACTAAAATATGAATACAAGTTCTCGCTTATTTATCTATTTAGCCATTTCTTCCTGTTCTTCATCAACATCATTCATTTCAACCCAAATGTGGACACATAGTGACAGTTAGGTAATGATATGCTAATTATTCTGTGTGTGTGTGTGTGTGTGTGTGTGTTTGGTTACATGTTTGCAGAATATCTCATGAACCACTGGATGAGATTCAATGAAACCCTCAGAAAGTAATCACTGGATGTTCACAACTGAATCATTTTTGGCCTCATCTTGATTAAAGATGGCTGCCGTAGCTAAGCTAAATTAGCAAACAGAAAAATTACTGTGAATTCGTGGCTCATCGTTATAGATATTGCCCTTCAGTTTGGGGTGGTAGTAGCTGAGAGTCATCCCCAATACACATGAGCTCTGACATAATGTGCACTGCCATTCAAAATGTCAGAAAATATGCACAAATGCTGCTTTAATAAATATTAATATAATTAATTTTTAAAAATTAGAAATGCATCAAAAAGCTGGAAAATAGGAAACGGTAAAATAAAACCATGGTACATCTTTGACGTATATATACGTAGCCGAGCATGTGCGTGTGTGTGTTAGTAGCATATTCTGAATCTGTTAAACAATAAATATCCAAACATTAATGTTCACAAAGCTGTTAATAAGATAAAAACAAAACATGCAAATCCACAACAGTTTGTTTTTTTACTTAAGTCTTATTGTTGATTGTTCAGCACAAAGCACAAACTGTTTTATTCAAAAGAAAGTTTTAAAAAATGTGATCTTTGAAACTAATACTTGAATCAGAATCTGTTCAGTGGAGCAGTGGACAGTTTCAGAATTCAGTTCCAGCGCGGTGCGCTTCGCCTCACAGCAGGTGACCTCTGACCTTTACAACAACCCAGAGCTGAGGGTGACTCTCAGAGGCCTTTTATGTCCTAATTGTTTTTTGCCGGTGAGAAAAGTCAGAGGAGCGTTTCCTGTTTGATCAACTCTGTGGTCTTCAGCTGCAAATTGAAGCTTAATGAGGTTTCCTCGGTTAAAGGAAGGTGATGAACATCTGATGACGGGCAGGCGATGATTGCTGTTGTTTTGTTTTTCCTGCTAAGTGTATTTAGGACGTTGTGTCTGTTTTTGAGTCACTTTTTGCTCATGTTGCAGCTCATAGTGGTCATTCTTCGTCCTCTTGAAGAAGTCTTGAGTATCTGTTCATTTACCGTCTGTTTTGTGGCCTTGTTCGACTGGTCATTTATATCTAATTTGAAATCAGCAGGCGTGTGTTTTAAAATTTGTTCTGTTTTTTTTTTTTAAATGTTTTTATTTATTTGTGTTTAACTGTGATCATTTCACATCTACAATAAGTCAAATTGTGTTTCATTATCGTCACATTTTTCATTTTTACTTCGAGATACTTTTTTTATGTTCAATCCATATTTTCTTTGCTTTTTGTCTCATTTTGATCAACGTTTTTTGAACGTTTTAAACCATTTTGTTTCACTGTTGATACTCTGTGCTTCATATTGTTCTTGTTTGTGGTAATGTGTTATTTTAATTCATATTCGTTTGTTGCGTTTTGATCGTTTGGATCAATTTCTGATAGTTTTTTTTTTTCTAATTTAAATAATTTAGTGTATCTGTTCATTCTGTGTTACATTTTATGTCTCATTTTAGGCTTTCAGTATATTTCTGCCACAGTTCTCATGGTATATTCATAGTATTTTATATATATTTTACGTTTTACGGCTACAGTTAGAGAGGACAGGGAGGTAGCTGGAGTGAGCCGGAGGAGGCAACTCCTGAAAAGGGAACATCTCCAACCCCCAATAAAAAAATAAAAAAATAAAAATAAGATTTAATATTGATGTGTTTCATCTGTTTTTGTTTTGCTCATTTGCTCTTTTTGTATCATTCTGTTTTAACCATTGGCCTGTGTTGCTTTATTTTTTTATTTTATTTTTTTACAGTTTTCAATTTGAAAAACTCCTGACTCCTTTAACCAATCAACTCCGAGCTTATTCAACTATCTCTCCAAGTTCAGACCTGAATCTGAAACTGGAAATCCTTCTGTCTGTCCCCGCCTGTGAGACCACGCACAGTTTGCTTCACCTCCCCATCACCTGTTCTTTCTGTTCGCCTAAATGCTGTTGACCTTTGACCTTTCTGCTCCATTGCTTCACCACACGGGACTCTGCTGCCTTCGACAGCTGCGTCAACCTCAGGCCTGGCAACTGGCGTGCCAAGCGGCGGACAGAGCGGCATTAATTTCAGCTCGAGTAATGAGTCAGCACCACGCTACTGTTGTCAGGCCTCAGCAGCTCAACTTTACCTTCTCATAGGGCGTCCAGAGGTCTTTAGATGGATTTATTTCCTTTCAACAAGTTTTTTTTTTTTTTTTAAGTTGAATTAAAATACAAACAAATCCAGGGAGTTTTCTGTGAGAGGGTATGGAGGGGAGGAATCCCTCTACCCCTGTGGATCTTGGTTTGGTGTCAGCTGTTCATTCATAAATACCGATATAATTCTTCACAATCCAGATGAAGAAACTGCTTCATTGTGAGTCAGTTTAACTCCTACCTGCTGTCCTGCGGGACATTATTTCCTCGTGCCAAGCAAAGTGTGTCCAGAAGCAGTGGGACACTGGCAGCCCGGAGCAGA